GAGTTCTTTTTTGCTCTTATTGTATCGTCCCTGTATAACACAATGCGATATACAGTTTATGTTACTAAATGTAGCCTTAATCACATTACGCACATAGAGCTCTGCCAGTCGGCGGAGTTGGGATTTGCTTGGGGGGAGAGGGTTTTCGTAGCATCGGAGAGCGTTGAAAACCCTCGCCTCCGACCGTCGTATTGCGCGGTCGGACGTCGGATCGGACGGTTTCGTCGTACATGTGTTTCGCGCTTTAGCCATCTTGAAAGTACCTTTGCAGCATATTATATGTCCAGTATATATAAAATGCGCACGTCAGAGCACAGTAATACGCTACGTAGTTTCTAACGATCCCGTGATTGGACCTGGCGGTCCGTAGCTTTTGCTGTGGTCCATCGAATACGGTGAGACGAAGTAAAGGTCAAACGTGTTTCTTGGTCTCGTCGTTCACCGATATACTTCAGGAAATAGCAAAGACTGGCTCCGTTTGTAAGCGAACGAGCCACACACTTTTTAGAATGCAGCCTGTCATGTCTGTGACGTAATTTTTATCCGTTCGTCTAAGGTATGAATGGAGTCACTTGAACACAACGTCCTATTTCCCCATTAAAGACCAGCAATGTCTTCAGGACCTTTTGAAGACACTACTTCTGCTATGTTGACTATAGTCGTTCACAGGCTAAGAATGCAGTTGAAGCTCGTCCTCCGGCACGCGCTCGTTGACGTTTGCAGGACCTGGTTGCGCGTGCGACGAAGTGCTATCAAAGACAGAAAGCTAGCGCTAGAGGTGGAGCTACAATTGCATTCTTAACCTGTCACCGACTATTGGCGACGTGCGCAATCAAAAGCGTCACTGTAATCGCCCTGCCACGATTGGCCGAATGCTGGCTATGATGTCAGCAAAGGATTTCTCTTCGACGGAAATTAGAGGAATGGAAGAACACTCTACAAAAAGAATATCACCTTACACTTTTTTGTCCCATATGATGCACCCCATAACTTTAGTTCGACGAACACCGTTCCATTAGGGTCATAGCAGAGAGGTTAAAAGAGAAAAAAATGCACTCCCCCTCTCACCCCGCGTGCCGTGCGCTCCGCCGAGTGGGCTGCAGCTTCCGGCTGGCGTGCAAACTCTGTTTAAAATCGCGTCAATTTGGAACTTTCTAGCGCAGATGCGCAGATTTTGGTATGCCAGTTGTCGTGTAATATTATGCTAGATAACGAGACTCACAGGGTCCGATTGCGCTGTTACCAGCGTGCAAATGAAAGAAAAAATAGGGGAAACTGTGTCAGATTGGCCGATCTCTTTAGCGAAAAGTAAATCCGGTTGCTGTATTTTTTTTATTGTACGAAGTTCGTACTGGTGTAGGCCTTTAGCGACCATGAGTGGAAGTCTGAAATAATGAATAAAACGTGCTCTCCTGCCGCAATACACGCAATAATTGAGGGTAATACTGCCGGCTGACTGAACTGCTATTTAAGTAACGGAAAAAAGATATGCTAGTTGATCATTTCGCAAAATAGAACAACAGAGAGCTATAGGCTGATTTTGGAGTAGCCACTACTATTCTAAGAACACGAACCACTTCACAACGGCAGCCACGAGCGAGAGTTCGATGTTCGGTAGAGCCCGCCGATACAGCCCAAAGATGGAGAAAGGCAACCTCCTGGTTTGTCGTCTGCTAGCGGAGTCTGGCGCGTGCCCTCTCTCTCGTTTTACCCCGCCGAACCCGCTGAACTTCCCGGATGTGTGGAGAGGGCGCTGCGGGCGAACAAAATGGTGCCGCCCAGAGAGCGCTAAATGGAATGGTCTATAGTCGAACAGACGGCCCCAAATGTTACGAGAGGCTTGATAACGGTGCGATATTACTTATTAAATAGCTAAAGTGTAGGTATCAAAGACCGCATAAAGAAAACACTGAGGTTTTGCAGTAGGGCCAAGAAAGCCCCGATTATTTTTTTTTGTAGTCAGTAACACGTACATTAACTATTTTAATAAGTTGAACCACATGGCTATCAAGCCTCTCGTGAAAGTTAGTACCGTCAGATTGACTGCAGTGCGCTGTACGTCGAACTGAAGTTTTGGGGTGTAATATATGGGACAAAGGATGTAAGAATACACCTTTTTTTTTAGAGTAAACGAATTCAATTTTGGCGGTGTTGGCAGCGTTGACTTCAGAGCGCAATGATTTCAAGCTTCCACCATGGTCATTACCAACACCATCGAACTTGTTCGCAAGGTAATGATGTCACGAGGGCGGAACTATAGGAGGGCGCCACCAAAACATCTCGCCGCTAATAGTTATTGCCTCGCCATGCAAATAGACATATTGCTAAATTACCCAGGCCCCAGCGAGGTCTACACGCCACAGGCGCTCGCCTTCCCCGTATAAAATATCCGAAGTCAATAACCAAAGGGCGTTGACGAACACGCGTCCAAGATGCCATTTGTTTGAGTCTTTTGCTTTATAACAGTTACTGTTGCAGACACCAACACCTGCTGCGCGTAGACCTGCATACCCAGCATTCTCGTTTATGCTTGAGTAATTTAGCAATAGTTTATTGAAAATTGGAATTGAAAGTTGTGAATATTTATGCTCCAAGGTGTCTGTCCGCCTTTGAGGTATTGCAACAGTGGTTCAACGCTGTAGAGGAACAATTTGTCAAGTGCAGTATACGACTGTTAACCTGGGGTCTTCAACGTACACCGCGATGTAGTGATCACACGACCGGACGCCGGTACGGCATTAGTTCAAATCGGAATGAGTAGCGACACGGACTGAAAATTGGATTCAGTGCTCTGGCACCAGATGACGGTGTTTGTAGATGAACGCACTCTATAATAAAATACTTTCATCAAAACAGAGCTTTGACGTTTTACAACGTTAAAAAAAACAAAAACACAGAGAGGTTATACACACAAGAAAAAAAGAAAGTAAAAGTAAAATCAATGCCAGGAATAGCATAGACCGTATATATTAACCACGTGCTGTTAATGGTCGTGCGCTATCTTCGCCAATGTTCGCGAAGAGTGAGTTTGAAATAACTTGTCTGTCATACAAAGCTGTACAAATCTGACTACTAGCTGAGACCCAGTCGCTCGTGTGACTTTAAGAGTAGACCACAGTTACACCGTAGCACGAACATCAGTGCAAGCGAGACAACAATTAAGCGGAGCAATCACGTTACCCGTGGTCACGAATGATTACACTGGTTCTTCACCTACCGAAGCAACCGTGAGGATACTAGCTTCTTCCGGTGCCTTTACTAGCCAGTCAAACCAAGACCCCATAAGCGAGACGCTTGCACGAAAATTCAGCACAAACCGCAGTCGAAGAAGCTTCTTAGTGAGGCGCTACATCATGAAACCTCTACGCATTCGTTGCCGCTCTTGCTGAGCCCTCAGCTTCTTGATCATTGGCGATAGAATCGGCGGCTCGTACGCGATTATGGTGTCTGCGAAGAACGTCAGGCTGTTGATGACACACAGCGAAGCGGCCAGCAGGCCCGGGGTGTCGGCAACGCGGGTGTTGGCTTCCGTGATGTACGTCAGACTCGCTACTATGTAGGCAACGCTGCCGAGCACGCCGTGGACACGGTAGAAGATGGAGTACGGCACGTCCGTGCTGCCCATGAGGACAGCGAACAGAATGATGGTGCAGGTGACGAAGAAGCAGAAGGAGATGAGCGAGAGGAAGAGAGCGTGCGAGTCCATTAGGACGTGATTCGTATCGGCGTCGAAGTGCGAGTAGACCAGGAAGGCAAGGGCCATAATACCGGAGACGACCTGGAACACCTTCATGGCACCAGAGAAGGTGTTCAGGTAGTTTAGGTGCTTGGTCATGTCGGTGCCGAGTTGCGAACTCTCCCGACCTCCAGCTGGCTTGAGGCTCTGCCTGGCAGCTGCTCCCGAGCAATTGCCACGGGACTTCTTTCTTGTCTTCTTTTCCACACGTGATTCTCATTCTTGTCGCACTCAAATCACCGATTTTCGTACAAGCGATACTCAAGTGGCGTGAGGGGTCAGGCACTCGCTCCGAAGATGCCGGAGATATGACACATACTAAAACGCGGCAGATTTTAGGAAATCTTTCAAAGCTCTAGCTGTCCAACGAAGCAGTGAATCAACTGTTCGAAAGTTTTGAAGCTTATTTATTGATAGACATAAAAAAAATCTAAGGCCAATGTGTTTTTTTTTTTTTTTTTTTTTTTACAGCATAACAATTTTATTTTCTACACTGGAGAAGTGAAGCTAATGGGATAATGTGAAATTTCATTTTTCTATATATTATTATTTCATAATCGTTCCGCCCCTCTTGCCTTCCAATATATTAGGTTATGACGTGCACTCATTCCGTTATGTTTTTTTTTAGATGACTCATACGTCGTGCACAACAGTATCAAAGTGTCTGGAGCGAGCCTGTCTCTTTATTTAACGTTTGATCTGCACACGCCTTCGCTGGACAGCAGAGGGAACTACACGACGAGCCATCGAAGCTAATCCAATGTCATGTGAGTGTCACGTGACCTTCGGGTGGTGCGCAACGACGCGCAATAACGTGATACGTTCACAGTGCCGGATTGGCTGGGATGTCTCGCAATGTCCTGCGGTCCATCGTAAGGTGAAACGAAGCATAGATGAATGCGCCGCGCAACCGCCAATAAATTTGACAGCGTTGACTTGTACTCTGGCACATACATGGCTTGCACTGACGTGACATCAGCTGCCATCGTGGTGGCCTTGCTGCTGAGCGTGCACGTTTTGCAGCATGCACCTCGCACCACCGAATGTGTCTCATTCGGCAAGAACCAGTACGAAGGACCACCAGCATGGCGCGATGACGTCACGTGCAAGCCATGAGCGCAGGTCTCTCAGGTTTACCAAGTTCCTCAATTTTGAGCCCCGTTGTCATCATCAACGAAAATACCGGAAGAAGCAAACGATTCAGCAAGACTCGCTCGCGGAGCTCTCAGCGAGAAGCGCTCCAGTAACCAGCACACGACTGACCATGACGTGGCACATCTACTACATCAGAACCTTTACGGGATCCCTCAAGATCTTCCAGGTGATGGCGGCGCTGTTAGTCATCGTTTTCTTGTCGATCGCCCACTACAGCACGGACACGAACTACCTGACAATGCGGCCCGCCGCCCTGCTTATGGCGATGGTCAGTTTTAGCTTCTTCATCACCAGCTTGGTCATCTTCATGTCCGTCGTGATGGGCAGCACGGACGTGCCTTATTCTATATTCTACCGAGTGCACGGTGTACTCGCCACGGTCGGCTTCGTTGTCTCCGGTCTCACGTACGTCAGTCAAGGGGATCGTGCGTCGCCCTCCAGAGCGGGGTCTATCGCGGCGTCCCTGAGTATCCTCAACAGCCTCACCTTCTTCGCGGACACCGTGATAGCGTACGAGCCGCCCATTGATAACCCAAATGTATCAGAAAGCAAGTAGGACCTTGCTCGTGACGCCGAATCATAAACAAACCGTTGGAGCGAAAGTACACACTGCGTAATAACAAGAAGAATAGCTCTGGAGTAGTTTGTGCAGCATAAACCATTATTAAATCATTCGACCTGCTGACTTCATAATTTCTGCGGAACAAACGCCAAATATTTTTTTTAACCGCGGTATAAAAAAAAAAAAAAAACTAAAAGAAAAGTGACATTTACATGTGCCGCGTTTGTAGGAGTTGAATAAATTATTCATCAATCGCGTTATATCCACGACCATAAGTCCGGCGTCGGATATCTTTAGTTCGTTTTCGAATGTGATAAGACAAAGCGTGATTTTCAAAGTTTTCACAGAGGAGTATAGCAAGATCCAATTTTTCCAAATAAAATATAAAAACACACGCTTCTATGAACTCTTGTTACCATTGGGTGCTGAGGCTTTTGGGCGCTCAATTAATTCGCCAGTGTGTGAGGTGACAAATAAAAAGTTGTGGAACAGCACAAATAATCTAGAGAAATTATCAACTATATCTAGACATCCCCTCGCACTGTTCTCTTTTGTAACTGAAGATGAAGCAGTATCTATACGAGAAGAAGAAAAAAACGATCATACCTCGATCACTTTGCAGATGACGTGTACCTGGCAAACGAATACCTGGACGAAGTACTGCGCTCTCTTCAGATGGACCGCACCCTTCTGGCGGCCATTGATCCACTAACCATTCCAGAGTTCGGCGAGAGTAGCGTCACAATCACGAACGGCCGGGTGTTGGGCTTGTCCGCCATCAACCGAAATGGCAACAGCAGCGTCCACTACGGCCTAGGCAGCGTCATTGTGTCGGCCCCGATTGTGGTTCCCGGTGTCCTTTTCACCGGTCAGCACAAGGTGTCCAAGTTTGGCATTTCCATCTCCGGGGACATCGAAGCCAAAGTGGATAACGTCCAGATATTCATTTTCTACAGAGCTCCCAGAAACGGCGGTGAAGCCCGCCTGGAATCTTTTCAGGTAAACACACGAAGAAGAACAAGAGAGAAAGGAAGGTTTAGAGACGTTACCAAAGCGAAATAACTCGAGACAGGCGATGCTCGAGTCATTTTCGTTATCAAGTGTAAATGTCAGCATGGGATATATCCCATCTGAGCGGGGTAATCGTAACTTTATGGCGTGTTCTCACATAATCAGTGACATGACCATTTTCGGGGTGCTCAATGAACACCAGCGGAATCGATGTATACTGACATCTCCTGGAGGGCGCATTTTATGTGTGGGATATATTATATTACCAAAAAAAAGGGTTTTTGGTCGGTACAATTTTTAACGTTCGCGCATATGGCACGTGGTTTGCTCGCTGTGCGAAGCGACAAACATGCGCGTGCTGGCCTGTGGAGATCGCACGCTGGGCTGTAGATTTGTAACTAATGGAATGGTGTATACTAATAATATATACAACCATGGCTATTCTTTCTGTTTGTTTTTTGTTTGGATGACACGCTCACTGTTTCGCAGGTGGAGGAACTGAATGGGCTGAAAGTGACGCGAATCACAGGCGTGTCGAAGGCCTTTAATTGGGTGCTGAAGATAGTGGCAAATCGAGTTGCCAGACAATTCCAAGGAAAGATTATCAACACACTGCAAACGGAAGCGTCAAAATTTATATCCTCGCAGGTAATTTGTTCGATATTTTGATAGATACTTGGGTGAGAATGCCGTGCCCACCCTTTATGCAGTGGTATTTTATCCTAGAACTTGGTCCCAAGATAGCAACTTCGAAAAGTCCGTAACTTTGGTAATCTACTAGGTACGAATGCGTTATGAAGTCGATTATGATGTAAACTTTTATTGTGACAATGTATATTCTCGCGTCTATACCTGTTTTCACCTACAGGAAAAAAAAAAAAAAAAAAAAAAAAACAGGTTTTGCGCATTATTCATGCGAGGCGCGAAGTTGTTCTTAGTTCTTACCAGGTTTGGTTGTCAGGAGAAAAAGCGATTTTTTTGGCGTTTGGAACGTGTACGTCTAGATTAGATAGTATATATCGAATCTAAAATTCACCTACATATATCTTAATTATCAACATAAAGGGGAAAATTAGTAATACTCCGCGAGGTGCCGTACTTTTTTTACTACGGTTCTTGAGGTGAAAACGGGTATAGTGGTAAGAATCGCTGCTTTCCAATTGCAGACGTTTTCAACATACTGCGCCCGATACAATTTTCACGGGCAAAGATCATGTCAAAAGTTTGAACATATATAACAAAGACCACGTTTACTCAGAATCGTGCGCATAATCAATACAATATTAAAAAATAAAATCAAAACTAAATTGCAGTTTTAAACTGAGCTTAAACATCAAATATTACGTCGGGCACAGCGCATAAGGTAAGTATTTTAATAAAAGCACGCACATTTCCGAATACACTACTGTCTATAGTCGGTGACAGGTCAGGAGTTCACGGCGAGGGAAAAGGGGCTGGGGAGGACGAAGCAGATGGATTGCTGGAGACGAGGAAGCATCCCATTCTCTCCACCATTCCGCCTGCTTCCTCCCCAGCCTTCCTTTCCCTCGCCCTGAATTCTTGACCTGTAACCGACTATAGTTTAAAACACATTTGGATTACTTTCAATCTCAATTTTGTGATCTATTTCAGGTTGACAAGACGAGGTTTCCGCCTCTTTCTGGGAACGGTAGCAGCGATCAAATGGAGACGTTCGCATATGGAATCTCACCCCAATTTTGAGATCATAAAAAAACGAAACAAAGTCGGCTGTAAGAAGAAGAAGAAGAAAAACCAAATAAACGAATGAGTTACGGCTAGAAAAGTCAAGAATAGAGGGTCCACGGATGAAGTGGAAACTTCAACGCACATAGTTCGTTCCCGAACGTATACGTTCGGGGCAGTCTGGACACACGCTTTTGTTTCTCGATTAGTTCCTACGGGCGGTGATGCGATTCTGTCGTGCTCGTACAGCAGATGAAGACATACATGTATACACTGCCGTAAAAGGGGAACACAGGGAAAACCAAAAGCACGATGTCCCCCATCCCCAGATGAAAACTGTGTGCGCTCTAAGTACTCCAATGGACCGCAAAGGACGTTACGCGCCATCGAAGCATATCCGACGCCGTATGAGCGTCACGCGACCTTCGGGGTGCGCGTGGTTCGTGGTGACGTTATACGTTCACAGTGCTGCATTGGCTGGGACGTAGCCATGGAGGTAGGAAACTTCTGGAGGCGACATGATGCCACCAGAGGTGAAGTCAAAATGGTGGAGGGACACGTTCCCAACGATGACCAACACTTTCAAAAGCTTCCTACCTCCGTGCTCGTAGCGTCCGCTGCAAGCAATCATAGAACAGCGTCGGTAAAAACACAGCAGGGTCATCCATGACAAACGTCCTCAGACGGTTATAACGGCCATCGCCGACTTCTTAAAAGAAAAAGAAAAAAAAAAAAGTGGTTGTTTGCTACAGTTTATATGGGCTGTCGCCAAAATATTTTGATAGAAAAAAAAATGATTACGTGAGTGCTTTCTGAAATTTCTGCAGTGAACCCGAGCTATAGGTATATAGGTTAAAAATATCCGAAAAAAAATCTAAATAATTAGAATGAAATATAGCTCAATTACTCATAAAAAAAATGCTTGGGTTGTTTTTTTGTGTGATGCCAGAGTTCATATTAAGTAACAGCTTTTCGTATTTTTTTTCCCCTGGAGTTAACAAGATGAAAAAGAGACATACTCGGCGTTTAAAACTTAAAAGCACGGTTGACCTTGAATATATGTCAAAACTCTTTCTAGGCTGGGCTGTTGCTTTATTTTACGCTTCAAATTATTTAGGGACGATAAAGGTTTCCCAAAACAGGCATCTCAAAGTTGACCAGAACTTACTTTTCTGAAGATTCAGACACAAATTAATCGAGGCTTTCCTAATAAAAACATGTGCGACGGCTCATTAGACTGTCTCACTAAAACCGTGCAGTGAACGTAAAGGCAGCGCTAGATGAGGGGAGAAATGGCAAGCACTAGGAAGACCGGGACGGAAACGAGGGTTGCGGCGGGTGAGGGGAGAAAGGACAACAATTAGGAACGTTGCGGGGGAGAGGACGTTTTTCTTCCCCTCTCCACTCTCCCCTCACCCAGCGCTGCCTTTGCGTCCGCTGCACAGTTTTAGTGAGATAAATGCCCTCCCCCTCTCACCCCGCGCATCGTCTGCTTTGCCGAGTGGGCTGTACCTAACATCCGGCGGGCGTGCAAACTCGGATTAAAATCGCATAATCTTTGGAAATTTCAAGCATAAATGCGAGGATTTTTGTGTGAAAGTGATCGTGTAATGCTATGTCCGATAAAACGACTAACCGGGTCCATTTGCGCGGTTACCTGCCGTGGAAATAAAAAAAAGAAATGTGATAACAATGTCAGAGTGGTCGGTCTGTACCCTCCGGAGAAAAGTAAAGGCGGTTGCAGTAGCTTTTTTACTATATAAAGGTCGCAATGGTGTAAGCTTTTAGCGAAAATGAGTGGGAAGTCTGTACTAAATAAAAACATGCTCCCCTGACGCGAAAGACGCAGTGGTTGTGGGTAGTACTGCCGGCTGACGCCACTGCTACTGAAGTAGCGGAACAAAGATAGGCCAGCTTATCAGCTACTAAAAAAAAACAAAAACAAAAAAAAAAAAACGGAGATTCTGGAGTAGCTTTAAATATTTCAGAAACACGAACCACTTCACAACGGCAGCCGCGAGCGAGAGTTTGATGTTCCGCACAGCCCGCCGGTACAGCCCAAAGATGGAGAACAGCTCGCACTCGGTTTGTCACCTGCTAGCGGAATCGGGCGCGTGCCCTTTCCCTTATTTTATTCCGCCGAACCTGCAAAAGTTCCCGGATGTGTGGAGAGGGAGCTGCGGTCGAACAGAATGGCGCCGCCCTGAGAGCCCTTACTTGTCACTAAGAAATTTTTCTAGAAATGAATTTTGTTTTAGACTTTTTTTTTTTTAATTTGAACACCGGCGTAATTAGTTTTCATGGTACAGTACTGTACTTTCACTGCACAACACGCTCGCGCCGCGGGTAATTCGAGATATATGCCACACGCCTTGTTTTAATTATTTCGTAACAATAGCCCAAGCGGCACAAGAGTATTAGGCGAGTATCTAAACAATATTCTTCGTAAATACTCCGAATATACGGTTCTTCCCGTCCACACGATGTCCAGACAATATCGTTTGAAAAGCGGGGCATTACCAGCACAATATCACTGGAGTACTGCCAGCGTCGGCTGAGCATCCGCCGGGCATCGCGTGCCAATAGAGCACCGTCAGTGTCGTCCGAGTACCCGCCACATATCACCCGTGTATCCACAGAGTACTTAGAAAGTCGGCTGAGTATCCGCCGGGCATCGCGTATATCAAATTATCAATCGAGTACTGGCAGAGTCGTCTGAGCACCCGCCAGATATTGCACGTATGTCTACAGAGTACTTGGAGCGTCAGCAGGTGTGCGCAGGTCTAGCCTTCTCAAGCGAAGCGTACCAGACACGTGACATTCCCGGCGTGACGTCACTTCCTCATGTAAAGAGCTGTTCGCCGGGGGGCCGGGGATGCTCGATAGATGGCGCTAGAAGTCTACAAGGAATAGAGTTCCTGTATCGACCAACACACTGTTTACAAACAAACCCGCGTTTGCCCACCGGGTGAGGGGACTGCGCGCGCGCAGAAACCAGATTTGCCCGAGGCGAAGCATCTGCGCATGCGCAGAGCCGACAGCAGCGCCACCACATCGGCGTGACGTCGGAGAGTTGAGTTGGTCTATAGGCTCCCTACGGGAGCCAGAGTTGCGCATTTGTTTTCCCCGCACCGCCACGCCGCTATTCGCCGATATCCATCACGTGAGGAGCAAAGCATCTGGTGGCGTGCAAGAAAGCCACCTTTACGGTCGCTCCGCCGACGTTTCTCTTGCCCCGGCGAATGTTTCCCTGCTTTCCACCTCCTTTTCCTCCTCCCCTGTTTTCCATGCGCGGCGGCGCGCGCGGCGCCGCTATTCGCCAAATTTAGTCACGTGAGGAGCAAAGCATCCAGTTCGTGCGGGAAAGCCGGCGCGACGGCCACGCGCCGAGGCTGAATGCGCAACTCTGCTACCGTAGGTAGCTATACAGGAACTCTAACAAGGAATAAGCGCGCGCCCGCGGGGTACACGCTGCCAAAAGCTTTTTTTTTTTCTTTTTTTTTTGCGTTGTGCAAACAATTGTTGCGCTTTTGGCGAGTGCCAGAATTTTTTTTGCAGTGAACACGTTTAGTTTGTTTCAAAACAGCACTCGATTGTTTTTATTAAGACGTAAAGGTACATATACACACAATACAAAAATATTTACACGTATACAGGAGCGTGAATAAATGAACACAAGTCAAACATAAAAAGTGAGAACAAAAAACGACGTAAAGGTATACATATATACACAATAGAAAAATATTTACACGTACACGAGCATGAATTAATTAACAGGTGCCAAACATAAAAACGTGAGAAAAAGAAAAAAAAACGCCAAGCTAAATATGTTCAAAAGTACAAGGATTCAATCTGTAATTTAACATTAATAAAATATATTTCAACAAATGAATAAAGGCACCTACAATCAGGAGTTATAGTGGCAATTGTAAATTAACAAAACGATATCTAGTAAAATATACAAGCACAGAGGAAAAAGAATCTTGACAAGTTGGGGGCAAATAGATAGACTAAATGATGATTGTTAGATGTAAGCAAATACTGTATTTCAAAAGGTCACAGAGACCAAATGCCACAGGTCGAAGTAAACAAAAGTATTTAGGATATAATACAAACATGTTAAAAAAGTCACTGAATTAAAAGCAAAAAAAAAAAAAAAATTATGACAACTTATCTGCCTTTTATGTGGCAGACAACTTCAGGACTCATGGCTGAGAGAGGCCTCTGTTTAGAAAACTGAGATGCCACAGAAGGCAAGGTTGGCAGTACATATTAACAAAAGTATTGAAACACTCATCGCTGCAAAATGGTGAGGAGCAGAGCAGCTGCTCTTGAAGAGTAGGCACCAGTGCTTTCAGTACACCCTTCGAGTGCAGAACTCGTTCAACCTTGCTAAGGAACAGCACTTCAAGACGATCGACAAATGCTGCACAAGTAGCTGCTGGCCTGCAAACATCAATCTAGCTGTGCAGCTGTGGAATCTGGTTTCATAAACATAACCAAATAGCTGTTGTCAGTGAGAGGCTCCTCCAGGCAACGGATTAGTGGGGAGCAGGCAGCGCAGTCAGTTCTTTTTAGGAACCACGCAATTGTGTTTCCTGCCACATAGCAGTGGATGTTAGCCTCGACAACTGTAGTAAATGACGGCCACCTGTGAAAATAAAAAGGAGTGCAGGGCCTACGTGAACCTGCGGAAAAGACGAGGTCTCACATGACGAGATAGTAAGGCGAGGACCGGCGGAGCCCAAGGGCGGGAACGCCCAGAAGAGAAGACACGTCAGGCGGGGTCGAGGTCCCAACACGTACTGATTTATATAAGGTAAACAAACACGGGGATCAAGCGCCATAGAGACGCGACCGTGACAACAAGGGCGCAATGGTGGACAGTGGCGCCATCTAAGTAGTGTATATAGAACTTGCGAAAATTTTAAATACAACAACATCCCGGACTGTCAGAGCCCCAACGCTCAAACTACCATTGTTATCCGAATCAGTCGGCTCATCACTCAGTGGGGCAA